GGCTGCTCCTGATGGCTGGAACTGGCTTGATGGCTCGAGTCAGACATCTGCGGGGAGACAGTTTGGTTCCACCTGATGGCATTTCCCTCTTTGAGCCTCTGTGAGAGAACAGGAAGAAATAAGAAATTACATTTTAAAATGAGTTTGCTGCAAGGAAGCACTTAAAGGTACTAAGTGTAGATAGTGAATATTCACTATCATAAGATATGATGTCATAGTTATCTTTATAGGATATCATGGATATCATCTTTAATCAAATGGGGTTTGGGGAGTTGCAAGGCCCCTTCCTCATTCAGCTCTCAGCATCAGCTACTCCCAGGAATCCCTCGGTGCCATATAATGATCCAGACTCTTTGTAGGCTCTGCCTTGATTTAAAACTTGGGAACTACCTAATGAATGAATCTTGGGATCAAAGGGATATCGCTAATGGGCTAGTGCTTATCAACAATTTTATGCTTTCCCTGCCTTTACAAATGTGGATAATAAACAAGTTTCCTTTAGAAACCTCCAATTTTGCTTGATTTTTGTCCAACACCCTTGGTTTCCTGTAGCTTGTCATGAATGTGTTTATCCATGTTTTTGTATAGGAACAAGTGGTGATAATTGTGATTCCTGGAATGTGAAAAGAACTATTGCCTTTGTCTGCAGTGTTGCCTTTATGCAGCACTCAGCATATGGAGCACAGTGGTTGCTTGAATTGGCTCATGTCATTAATTCTATTAAATTGATCATTCTGTTAGAGTTCCGTTGCATGATTTTAGTCTAAATTTTATTTGGAGTTCATTATAATTCTGCTCTTCTTACACAGAAGCCAGATCGGGGCATCTGATGACATTTCAAGAACATTTAAATATTTAAAGTTGAATTAAGCTTCAAAGCTGGTGAATCAGTGTTTGATGTGGAGGGGTATTGTGGCTTTTCTGCTGCAGTGATTACAGGGCTCGGGCTCCTCTTTTGAAAATCAGGCGTTGTTTATTTCTTTTAGAATCAACTTAATTCTTGATTTTTAAATTTATCAGGTTTCACATTGGCCTACTTTTCCAAATTTTCCTCCAGAATCCTTCCCAGGATGGAGGGGGACATGGCTCAGGAGCTGTGTGGTGTCCCTTTTGCACACTGACTGTCCAGCGTGACGTTGGGAAACTCAGGAGTGACTTTGGTTTTGTAGTAGAAAATGCCAATTCCAGAGATTTGTTCTGAGCTCAGTCTGTGCTTTGGTGGAAAACTGGAATTTAATTTTATTTCAACAAAGCACACGAGTATTGAGTGGGTTAGAGGCATTTTGCCTTTTTTTTTTTTTAAGGAAAGAGCTCAACTGTAAAATATACACAGTTATGAACAGCTTTATGCTGTAGAGAGGGAGAGGCTAAAGCAATTGGAGATTAAAATAAAAACTTTCACTGGTAACTTCAAAGTAAGCAAACAATTTCCTTCATGGTTTTCTAACAAAATATCATTGATTTAGTTGAATTAATCTTGTATTTCCATTTACCTTGGTGCACATTGCATGGCTCCAGGGCAGGATTTTCCTGTCGTCAGAATGCTCATAAGTAATTTTGGATATGGCCCCTGGGAGATCTGTGATTCTGGGAGGGAAATCTAAACTATGAAGAACGGGTTTTGCAGTCCCCACCTTAAGAATCTCTAATTCTGACGCAGAGCTTCTGGTTAAATCTTCACCTGGTGTTTATGGCTTTTACCTGCCAAGCAAAGAGAGATTTCCCAGCTCCCCCCTTTGGAATTAAAAGGAGGAATCTGTGTGTGGCTGTGGAGGCAGGGAAGTGGTGATTCCATTCTTGGTGTGTGGGGAGGATGCTGTGAGTGGCAGTGCCAACTGAATTTCCCTCTTTTCTTTCCAGGTCTCTGTGGTCAATCAGCTGGATATGCAGGTCATCGTCTCCAACGTTCCTCCCACCCTCGTGGAGCAAAACAAAGATCAGCTCATAGGGTAATTAATTTGTTTCCTGTACAAATATCAGGCAGTTCACTGGGTTTGGGATTAGATCCAGCAGGGAGTGCTGAAGTATTTGAAAGCAGCTAAAATCCCTTTGATCCAGTAATTGCACTCAGGCACCACAGCATCATCAGCTTCCAGGAGCCAGGCTTGCACTTCTGGCTTCTTTTTGGGAGACAAAGACAATTTTGTGTGCTTGGGGTCTTAAAACCATGGATTAGACAATGTGGGATAGAAAATACTGTAGGAAATAGTTTATAAATGATCTTTGTACTCTTCTGTCCATTTAATCAGCAATGAGAGGCACTTCTCAGATTTCCACAGGTCTGGTCCATCCTGACTGTTGTGGTACCTTTAATTCTCCATGGAATTTGAAATACCTTGGGATTGATGATGCAATCCCTCATTGGAAAAGCAGTGAATGGCTTACAGCTTCCCAAGAGTAGGAAAAATTACTGGTGGATTTGCTCCTGGAGATTTAGGACATGTTCCCCTTTTCTAACATCAGAAGCACTAATGAAGTTGTTCAGGCAATAGGCTTCATTCACATGGATCCCATTTCCTAGAACTAGGAATAACTTCCTAAAAGGAGTTATTATATACCTTCTCTCAGGTAACAAGGGACAGGATGAGAGGAAACAGCCTCAGGCTGTGCCAGGGAAGGTTTAGGTTGGATTGGAGGAACCATTTCTTCACAGAAAGGATGGTTAAGCTTTGGAAGGGGCTGCCCAGGGCAGTCCCATCCCTGGAACTGCTCAGAAAACCATGTGGATGTGGCACTTGGGGACATGGTTTAGTGGTGAACGTGGTTCTGGGGTGACAGTTGGACTCTGTGAGGAGGTCATTTCTGACCTAAATGATTCCATGATTCTGTATTTCACAGGGAACTGAGTTTTTGAGTGAGCACAAAGTCTAAAAAAAAATCATGGCCAGGTTTTGAGTTCTCAGAATCAGCTTGGGGAGTCTTTACCTTCACAAACACCATGAGCAAGCAAGTGCAACTAAAGAATTCCTCTTCTAAGAATAAGTTTTCAAGGACAGAAGATACAACCACGGGCAAAGGGAAACCAAGTTATTTGGAGGGCTTCTCAGACTGAAGTACTTTGGCCACTTCAAATAGTGCACTAATTCATAAAATTGGAATGTGTAATTCATTAACAGATGAAAAGACTGTATCATTAACCTGGTCTAGTGGAAGGTGTCCCTGTCTGTGGCAGGGGAGTTGGAACTAGGTGGTCTTTAAGATCCCTTCCAAGCCCAAACCATTCTGTGATCTGTGAACTGAATGAGTCACTACAGAGGTTACTCAGCTCTTTCTCCTCTCATTTTGTAAATATTAATCCCTGAAAATATAACATTTATTCACCAATTGCAGCACTTGGTGATGGGGAATGTTAGGGAAGAGAGGGTAGTTGGGTCATTTTTGACATTACAGTGATTTTTCACCATAAAATAAATAGTGGTTTAAACCACTTCATAGAACAAATTATAGCAGGATCTCCACAACTGCCTGGGGAGGTTTTTTACCAGGGGTTATGAGGTATCAAGAGATACATAATTCAGTGTTTTCCACACTGGAAAGGCTTACTCAGCACAGCCCAGGGCTGTGTGGGGGTTAATGGTCCCCATAAAGAAAGCACAGCAGAGAAGAGAAGATTTAAAGCCTCACTGTCCATTTGGCTCAGGAGTTGAAGCTTTTTGAGGGATGCAATGGGCACATCTTCCTTTCACATCCTCTGGACTGAACATCAGTGTCACATTTGCCATTTCCTCACCCGCTGCCGTTGTGGCTGTGCAGGTAAATCCATTCCTGGCTGCTGCAGGAGGTGGCAGAGAAATTAGGCTGAGGCTTAGTGGAAAATTTGATATGTGTTCCTCTCCTTCAGAAAACTTGGGGGAGGAAGATGACAGAGTGTTCTGTAAATGTGGAAGCTTTTCCTTTTCCTTCACTTCCTCGTGCTTTTCTCATACAGCTCCATGCTTGTAAAAGAACAGTGCATTTCCATAGTTAAAGAAAATCCAGGCTGAACCCTTTAACATGGTGTAAAAGTGACCAGGAAGGTTTTTCCCTGAAAATCCAAATGTAAAATCAAGTGCTGATCCTTGGAGATATTACTGTTCATATTTTGGAATATGAACATTGAAGCTGCTGACTTAATGGTTTGCATATATAAAGTTGACTGCCATCATCCCTCATAGGAGCTCTGCTTTGATGCAGAGAAACTATGGTTGCACTTAAAAGAGATATTATATTATATATTACAGCAATAAATATTGCTATAAATTATAGGGCCTAATATACATCACATGTACATTGTGCATCACATATAATTTTATGTCTAATCACAGCATATGAGATAATAAATTTTATGTTTAGGAGCTGGAACACACGGGGCTTTTTCAGGGAAATGGTTCTGAATGGGGATGGTTTCCCTGCAGTTGTGGTTTTTTTCTTCTCCACAGTCCATGAAGAAGTAGAAAATTAGCTTGTCTCAGCTGCTGGATGCAGCTGAGGTGCATAAATCACTCAGACTCCTCAGTTTTCCCATAGGAGAAGTACCATTCTTTAGGATTTTTGCCCTGTAATTACTGAATTAAGGCTAATTACAGGTGGTTGGACCTTTTCTCTGCTGGGCTGGTGGCAGTGAACTTGTCCTTCAGCATTGGCCACAGCCAGCACTTGGCTTCCTCCCCTTTAGGAGACACTCTTGAGTCCCAGGTACTGCTAGAGCTGCTTTGCCTTTTACCTCAGCACTCTCTGACAGGAACATTTTTGGGGTCATTTTGCTCCTGGCCCTTGGTTCCACCTCCCCTTCCTTTTTCCTCTGTCACTTCCTTGCACTGTATTGTTTCATTGTAAATTAAATTGCCAAATTAGGAAAGAAGTAGATTAGATAATCAAAGAATTGATTTAATTAGATTAAATAGATTTAATTACGTAAAATAAATACATTAGAGGGACATTTGCCACCAAGTGGCTGCATCCTGTTTCATATCCAGCCTGTGTTTGGCTTTTTGGGGACAATGTGTGTCCTGGAGCCTGGTACAGTGTTAAGAGAGCCCATTCCAGCCCTCAGCCTCTGTCTGCTGGAATCAGAATGATAATAACAGGAGGCCACCTTTATTGAGTCAGGTTTTTGGGGTTTTTGGAGGGCAGGGATGTGCAGGATGGGCACAACGAGAAAGAAAGGAATTTTAGCAGTGTGTTAGAAAGCAAATTTCCTTTGCAGTGTGCAATCCAATAGGCTCGTGGTGGTGCTGGGTTGATGGCTGGACTTGAATCTTAAAGGTCTTTTTCAACCTTAACAATTCATGATCCTCTGCTTTTATAGGATTAGGATAAGTGGGTATAAAGACATTGGCTCTGGGTTGTTTTCTAAATATTGTGGATGTTATTTTATGCAGAGGAAATTGGCTCAGTGCTGCTCCTTCCTGCCAGACACAGGCCTCCTGTGTTCTAGAAAACTAGAAATAATCTTTGTGAAGGCTGTTTGATAAAGAAGGGCTGGTCTTGGGCTGGAAATAAACCCCAGGGGCCACAGAAAGTGCAGAGCCTGCCCTGTGCTCTTTGTGTGCTGCAGTAAGGCATTTGGGAGCTCAAGTGCATCCCCCCCAAATCTCTCACTAACTGCACAGGAGGGGCTGGAACTGGTCCTTGTCTGTTTGGGAAAGTACAGCTGAAAATCCAGCTGGTTACTTGTCAGTTCTTAACCTTGCAAAAATCACACAGCCAGAATTTGGCTGAAGTGGAGTAAAACTGAAGAGTTAATGAAACCACTTGAAAAGTCTGGGCTGCTGTGGACAGGCAGAGCTCTCATCTGTACATTGTTGCCAAATTTGCATTTCCAAATACTTGGAACATGAATTTATCATATACTATTTAACTAAATTATGTTTGGGAGGTCAAATTTCAGCCAAAAGTGATGCAGGATCTTGAGTCTTCAACACTGCTGACTCCAAGTCTATGGTACCAGTTATTTGAGTCCTGAAAGGAAGGACGTTTTTGGGTTGGTTTTTTTGAATTTCTTAAACTATTTTATGTGCTCCAAAAACACAAGAGGCTGTCAAATTACTAAACAACTTAGATGGGATGTTGGGAAGAAATCCTTCCCTGTGAGGGTGCTGAAGCACTGGCACAGGTTGCCCAGACAAGCTGTGGCTGCCCCTGGATCCCTGGAAGTGTCCAAGGCCAGGTTGGAGCAACCTGGGCTAATGGAAGGTGTCCCTGCCCATGGCAGGGGGTGGAACAGGATGATCTTTAGGGTTCCTTCCAACCCAAACCATTCTGGGATTATGAAGCAGAATGCCACCAGCCAAGGGACAGCTCAGCCAACTAAAATACCTGTAATACCTGTAATAAGTACCTGGATTATTTTGCCTTTCCCTTTCTTCGGCATCTAAAGATGAAAAAAACTGTCTCAGAGTTTTTAGGGTGCTTTGGGGCACGTGATGTCCTCAGTGACAGTGCAAATCTATGTGCCCTTCACTTCATTTCCCTGGTATCACTGCTGGGCACTGGGAGAGTGGTGGGAGTGGAGATGCACAGGGAGGTGTTTTGCTCGTCACATTTTGTCTGTGGAGCTAAAAGGGACTTGGAGCAGCAGGAAGGGCTTGTTCCCTGTTCATTTGCTAGTTCCACCCCTCACTACACCACTGTTGGGAGGATGATAGTTACCATTAACAAGTGATAGACTACTTTTAATTTAACTTCTGCTGATCAGTACAGCAGAACTGCCAATGCTGTTGTTACTTAAAAGTAGGCACCTCAAAACTTGGTTCTTTTGAGTAGAACTACAAGCAAGTGGCCTCTTTCAGCAGAGTTTTCAAACCTTAAAGAATTTTTCAGCATCACAAGTTCAGCTGAATGACTTTTCAAATAACTCTACAGGGAACTGCTCTATTTTTAAGTGAATTCTTTAATTGCTACTTTTCAGTCTTCAGTGCATTTTTATTACTTATTTTAACCTAAACATACAATTTGTCTGTTTCAGATTGAATATTCCTGTCATTCTCCTGTACTTGGTGGTGTTTCTTGCAATGTCAGTTAAAGCCAAGGCCTGCAATGTGCCTCTTTCCCATAGGCAGAAAGTGGTATCCCAAAATCCCAGAATGGTTTGAGTTGGAAGGGACCTTAAAGCTCATCCCATTCCCACCCCCTGCCATGGGCAGGGACACCTCCCACTAGCCCAGGTTGCTCCAAGCCCCGTCCAACCTGGCCTTGGACACTTCCAGGGATCCAGGGGCAGCCACAGCTTCTCTGGGCAACCTGTGCCAGGGCCTCCCCACCCTCACAGGGAACAATTCCTTCCCAATATCCCATCTAACCCTGCCCTCTGGCAGTGGGAAGCCATTCCCCCTTGTCCTGTCCCTCCATTCCTTGTCCAGAGTGTGCTGTTTGTTCTTCAATTTTAATCATGTTTTAGACAAAGAGATTCTCAAAGGCAATGGATTCCAGCAGAATGTCAGGAGTTTCTGAGGAAAGGGAATGTGTTGTTACCAATTCTGCTCCAAGTGACCCCACGTTATAACCTTCCAACCTTTTGGAATGTTTCTGTCTGGGCTGTAATAACAGTTCTGGGCAAGGAAACACAACATGACAAGAGGGAACGGCCTCCAGCTGTGCCAGGGGAGGCTCAGGTTGGCCAGGAGGAGGAATTTCTCCCTGGAAAGGGTGGTCAGGCCTTGTCAGGGGCTGCCCAGGGAGGTTTGGAGTGCCCATCCCTGGAGGTGTCCCAGGAAGGCCTGGCCGTGGCACTCAGTGCTCTGGGCTGGGGGACAAGGTGGGCATCGGGCACAGGGGGGACTCCATGGGCTGGGAGGGCTTTTCCTACCTGGATGATTCTGAGATTCTGTGAAAAACATCCCCTGCCTGCTGCAAGAGAAGATGTTTGTATGGTAATTAGGGAGGTAAATCCTTTACCTACTTGGCCTTTCTAAATCCTTTTGCAAAACACCCTTCTAAGGACTTCAGGTTCTTTCAGCCATTTCCATTCACACAATGTTTGCTGGGGCTTTTTTTTTTTACAATAATCTGCATATCCCAGCTTTGTCCTGTCAAGTTTTACCTGGGAAAATTATTGTTCCCGAGGTGTCTGTGACAGGTTATCACCTTGGCTGCCAGTGAAGAGCATTCCAGAAGCAGAGATAAGTAGAGTTTACCCTATCTGCAAACAACAGGAGTGCTTGTTTAGAGGACACCAGTCAACCAGCAGCGTGGCAGCCAATCTGTATCTCTATTTTCTCTGCACTAACAGTATATATTCACTGCTAGGCTGAGACCTGGCTCTGACAGACTTGGATTTTTCAAAATCTTTCAGAAAAGCTGCTGTTTTAAAGGCAGGCTAAATTTCCAAAAAGAGAGGGGAGATGAAAAATTAGGAGCTGGTGATGCTGCCTTGACAGCGTTGCTTTGGAAATCTTGTGTCAGGAAAGAAAACAGCAGCAAAATGTAACCTCAGCAGCTGCAGAAGGTTTTGTGTAAAACAAGTGACTTCCTAAGGTCACTGGTGTCCTTTTTTGAGAGATCTCTCTTCCTCCACACCCTGATGCTTCCCTTGCTTTTGCCTCCCAGCTCAGCTGCTGCTTTTGGATTTGATACTCCGATCACATAAATTAGTCTAGGAAATTCTGTATTTATTTATAACTCCCAGGAGTTTAGATGGAGCACTTAAACTTCCAAATTCTCTGGCTTGTGTCTCCATACCTTTTTGCCCATGTGTCCTGTGTTGATGATATTTGCTTTTTATGCCTTTGTTTATAAAGCTGTCTTTGAGGGCTTCGAGGGAACCCTTCTTGGCCCCAGCTTGGAAACCTCACCAGACCATTAGCAAGTCTGGGTGTTGTTATTGTTATTTTGGGCAGAGCTGCTGCTGAGTTCTGTTGGCCTTTTTTTCCCCTCTGCTTGTAGAACTCCTGCTGCAGTTTATTTTATTCCATTTTTTCCCATGTCAGCCTGATATTCCAATTTTCTTCTGCCTGTAAAACTTGCAGGTGTTGCAGCACCCGAAATGTTGGAGGGACAGCTGAAATATCCAGTTGAAAGACATTGGAGTGGTTGTTTCTGTGGGGGAAAATTTATTGTGTAGGGGTGGAATGGAAGTGCTGAAATAGTACACCTTAATAAAAGGATGGCAGGGAGGCTTTGTGTGAAATATAGGTGGTGTTTCCCATGAGCCATTTAAAACTCAGCTGAGGTCGTAAATACAGAGAGCTCGACTTAAGGACACCACTCCTGATGACCTCTCCAAGCACTGCTGAGCTGTTCCCAGGAGTTCAGCATTTAGGAGGTTCTACTGAGCAGAGATTCTTTTCAGAAAGCGCTCGGAAGGTCCCCCCCGTCCTCCTCGGCCCGTGGGCTTTGGCTGTTGGTGTGTCTCATTTGGCCCTTGGGAAGCACAAACCAGTCACTGCAGCTCTCTGGCTCCGTCTCCTCCGCAGGATTTTGGAGCGCTACATCCAGGACCAGATTCCCGGGGCGACGGTGGTGGTGGAGTCCATCGGGGCGCGCAGGTTCGGGGACGGCTTCTCCGAAGAGGATTACACCAAGTCCGACCTCATGGTCTACGCCATCGACCCGCAGACCAACAGGGCCATCATGAGGAACGAACTGTTTAAGTGAGTGTCTCATTCCTTGCTCCTCCTCTATCCCTGGGGCCTGTTTGGAAGCCTGTTGGGTCTGTTAGGAAGTGGTTCAGCATGACAGGAGTAGGGAAACTCTGGAAGCAGTTGCTGCCTGGCCTTACCCTCCGTAACTTGGGGATTTATCACTTTACCAGTTCAGTGCATTGCCTTGAGCTAAATCATCCCCTGATTTAGACATTTGCACCATGAGAGCTTGCAAGACACTTGGGCCACCCTGTGCAGGAGCTCCCAGCTTCAGTTCCTCCGAAGGAATTTCCTTCCTAGGTACCAACACTCCTCTGTGATGTCCAGGCAAGGGCTTTGCTGCTGCAGTGCTGGACCTTCCCTTTCCATTTGGAAAACTGCCTTTTTCTTTTTTGTTTCTTTCTGGGTTCTGGGGTTGGGGTTTTTTGTGGGAACCGAAGGAAGAGAAGAAAGGGAAGGGGAAGGAACAGAGGTGATTTGCAATGCCTGAAGCACATTGGGGCATGACCCAGGAGTACCCACACAGAGGAGATCGGGCCCTTCAAGATGCAAATCAGGCTTTTCTTCTACAGCAGCCACTCTCTTTTGGTTTTTTTTCCTTATTTCACCTTTGTGTTTGTTATCTTGGTGAGAACTGGGCCAGGCTGTGGTTGGAAAAGGCCTTGTTCTCCCGAGCTCCTGGTGGAGTACAGATGAACTATGGTGAACTAAAGCTGTGCAGGTATTCAGAGTTTACAGGCTGGAAAAGATCCCTGTGATCAGTCTGAGCGAGTGTAATAAGGATCATGGAACCCCTCAAATTCATTCTGGTTGGAAAGTGTCTGTCAGCAAAGCAGCTCCACAAGGAAAGCCACTCGATTACCTTTGTGTAATTTCCTGACAAAAATTAGGTCTGTTTCCCTTTTTTTTTTAAATTTATTTTAATTTCTGTAGGTTCAGTCACAGAGTTTTATTATAACTGAAGTATCCAACTGGTGCTTTTAATTTCTGTGTCCCACCAAGGTCTAGGCTTATGATCACGTCGTCCTCTAAATTTTTATTCTTGAGAAGTTGCTTGACCTCTGCACTCTGGGCTGTGTTTAAGTTGCTTTGATCACTCCAAGTTGTCTCTGAAGCCTCTCCAGTCTTCCAGCATCACTTTTTGGACTAAGGATACAAAAATGTTGTGGTTTTATATAAAATTTTCTATTTTTATATAAAAATATTTTTAAAATATTTTTTAAAAGAGCCACTCAGAGGGGTGGCAGTAGAACCACCCTGTTGGCATTTGGTTTTGGGTATCTACTAGGTCATACAGTCTCTTTAGGTCTCAGTGATGCTCTGGGAGCTTGTGTTCATGTGTCCACTGCTGATCCTTCCCAGAATGGTGTCTTTGTGTTTTTATTCCCAGTTTTATTCAAGAGTGGAAGGGGAAATTCAGGAAGCCAGCAGAAATCTGTGATAGATAGATAACCATTTTCATTAATCTCCAAAGAAAAGTGCCAGTGAATCTGCTTGCAGTTCTCCAGTTCTCCTGTTTCAGCCCAACCCACTCCCAAAACGAGTCTCAATAAAAAGGATCTTGCTGCCTTGCATCCAGATTATCTCCTGATCCCTCTTTATCATTGCTTTTCCACTTTTACCCTTTATAAATTCCTGGAGGTGTGTGTTTTATTCCAGTCACAGCCAGTTCAGAGTGGCTGAAGTGGGATCCCTTTAGAAATGCTCGAGGTCAAAAGGACATTATTGAATTCCATGAAAAAATAAAAACTTTTTCTGATGCAGACTCTCTTCACAGTCAGGGAAAAAAAAATGTCCCTCTTCCTTTTGGGACCCTTTGAAAATATAGGAATGTCTTTTAGGAACATTCATGTGTCCAGTGAAATACCCAGAGCAGAAGAGAGCTAAGATAGGTTAAAAATCTGATTTTCGAATGTGAAGGGTCAGCTGAGAAGGAACCTCATTAAAATGCTCCATGTGCCTGCACACTCAGCTTTTTGGTTCTTTTTTTTTTTCCCCTCTCTTCAAAAGCTTTTAAATATTTAAATCAGCAAAATCCCAGGGAATGCTCTCCTGGCTTTAGGGTAGAGGTGAGGAGGTGTCAGCTCCCTGGAGTAAGGAGGGAGAGTTTTGGAGCTTGCCAGCTGGAGTTACCAAGTTTTCCCCAGCAAGTGGGTGAACCACCAGAGATTTGCCCCAGCTCAGGGACATACCCAAATCTACAAAGAAATCCCTCCTGTAGGTGTTTTCCTGGAGGCTTGATTTTCCAGGGATGGCTCCGTGTTCTTCCTGCCACACTCCCAGGACACAGTGGTTGTGCCCTCAGTGGGAAGCCACGAGTCACAGCCATCCTTCTGCCAGGCAGGAATCTGCTCTGGATCTACCAGACAAAGAGATCAGTAGGAGAAAGGATCATTTAATAAACTGGAGATGATGGGAAGAAGGTGAGAAAGTCCTAAAGAAACTCCTGTTTTAAAAATTGAATTGGCAATAAGGAATATAAATTTACCTGAGTTATTTTCCAAGTGTTCAGCAATTCCATGATGTGTCCAGAAGAGAGAACTGTACCAACAGCACAGAGTTAGCACGTGAGTTCTGCCAGCTAGGATTTTAACACAGTTTGCAAAGTGATTACACCCAAAAAATGGGCCTGAGTGGTAACTGTGCTTTGCTATTTCCTCTCTCTACCACGAACCCCTGAAAGACTCAGGCTACTTAGAGATAATTTTACAAACTGAAATGATCAGCCTCCTTTTCTGTCTTTTTATAAGGAAAGAGGGTTTGATTTACTGGAGCATAAAAACCAGTTGAATCCAGCAAATTTCTCCTGCATATATTAAGTGGAAAATGTCCACCATTAAAAATAAACTGCTTACCCTGCCTGAATCTCCTGCACAGCGTGTCAGGTTCCGTCACGGAGTAAACGCTCACGCTTGAGTTACAACCTGTTAAAACAGGGTTTGTCAAGAAAATGCTGAGGGAATTTTAATGGAGAGATGGTTAAAATCATCCAGAGATTTAATGCCGTCCTGCTGGGATGCTTTTGCCAGCTCAAAGGACGTGGGACATGCACCAGTGACATCTAGTGTGCAGCAGAAGAATGAGGCTCCGATTAGACTCACTTTACGCCTCGTGAACCGTCATTAGGTTTGAAAAGGGATTTTTTTCTCTCAAGCACCACGAGCGTTTTTGTGGAAGAAATCAAGGGGCAAACAACGCTGTGAGGGTTCCTGAGTAAATTACTTAGAGGGGAAGTCGATTTTAAGAAATTAACTGCCATTGAGAAATGGTTTTTGAGGAGTGTTATTTCTATCTGATGATCAGATTAGGGAAATCAAGCTATTTCAGACTATTTCAGGCTGTCTTTAGACATTCGGAGTTTATGTGCAGAAATCCTTTCTGAATATTTTTTTTTTAGCTGTTGTTTTTCATTTGATCTTTTCTGGTTTTTTTCTGACACATCATGTTTCCCCAGGAGAACCTCTGTCCAGGTGGGGGTCCTGCTATGGCTCCTCCATCCTAATAGTGCCTCCTACTTTGATCTTTTTAGCTGGGCAGCTTGTGAGACACTCAGTCCTCACTTCCAGAGTGATCCAAGGATTTTTCTTTTCCTTTAGAAGTTAAAGCCTTGGCCAATGTATTTTTTTTGTCCCTCCAGCCAAAGGATTTCCCTAAGAAGCTGAGGGAAGTCCTCCTGCTTTTAGAGTAGCATCAATCACAGTCGTGAAGGAATCCCATAAAATAGAATCATTAAGGTTGGAAAAGACCTACAAGATCATCGAGTCCAACCATTCCCCCAGCACTGCCAAGGCCACCACTAACCCATGTCCCCTGGTGCCACATCCACGTGGTTTTTGAACCAAGGATGGGGAATCCACCACTGCCTGGGCAAGATCACGTGGATCTTTAGGCCGGAGTGGGATGTGTTCAGGAAGGGCTGGTTGATCCTCTGTAACAGACCAGTGAAGGAAAGAGCACAATCAATGCCACTTTGAGCCTCTAGAAATCAGGATAAGCTTCAGCTCACCCCTCCTTTTCAGTGCTTAAACTGTGTCCTGGTATTAAGTACCTTGGAGTCACTCCAGGGATTACAAGGAATTGCCAGTACCTAAAGGCTTTATCAGCCCACGGTTACTAACCCAACCACAGCCACCCAACCACACTTCATAAACTTGACCATAATTCTTTTGTGCCACCCAAGGTTCCTGGATGGCAAACTGCTGGATATCAACAAGGAGTTCCAGCCCTACCTGGGGCAGGGCGGGCGAATCCTGGAGATCCGCACGCCGGACGTGGTGGCCAACGTGAAGAAGCAGGCGCAGGCCGTGGGCTACACGGAGGGAGCGCTGCTGGCCCTGGCTGTGATCATCATCCTGTGCTGCCTGCCAGCCATCCTCATCGTCATGGTCAGCTACAGGCAGTGAGTAACCTCCTCCTTCCCCCACTCCCACTGCCAGCAGCCTCCCAGCAGGGAGGTCGTGTAGCGTAGAACCGCTCCGACGCCATCCGTCCTTGCGGCGAGAGCAACGCATCATTTCATATTTATATGTTATATATATATTTATATATACTTATATACCTTATATTTTTATATTATATGTGTTTGTACGTTATCTCTTCCATGTTAGTTTCTGGTTTTCACTCCCCTCTCCCCACAAGAGTTGGCCAGTGCTCGGTGTGGTGCACGCGGGAAGCGCGTCTTGTCGGGCTTTTCTGGGGCAGGGAGCTTTTAGAACACGGCCTCAAAAGCCAGGGGTTTGAAACACAGGGGTAGTTTCAGGGCTGAATTCCATGCCAAAGGAAAAAAAAAAAAATTGAGGAGAAAGGTTCTGTCTCAATCAATGACCCAAAAATTAAACTGCGTGGCTCGATAAAATAAAGAGTCCATTTTTTTGCTTATATATTTATAATTTTTAATAAAATTATAAAATATTTATCATGTTAATGTATTTATAATATTTATAATATAATGTATTTATAATATTTCTAAATTACATTTATTTATCCTGTTTTAAAATAATATTTATAATATTTATAAATTATTTTCTAAAATATAATGTTTTCCCCCTAAAATAATCACAGTTATATATTTCCCGACCTTATTAATTGTAAATGTTTCCTGGAGGATGCCTTTTGTGCCATTTCTGTCTAAAGCAGCGGGGAGAACCTTCTTGGTATTTTCACTCACCTCTTATATTAACTTTATATTAACTTTAACTCACCTCTTATAATTGGCTGATAAACTAATTAAAGGATCAACATCACCAACAAGAATCTCCCAACTAAACTTTTTCTGGCCCTCTCATATTTTGAATCAATGCATTTGGACTACAAGGTAGATCGATTCCTACATTTATATATATATTTATTTATAGATTTTTCTTTAATTAAAGATGATACTCAGAGATACTTAATGGATTTACTAATTAATTATTATATTCACATCCCAGTTTCTCCAAAACATTTGAGTCAATGGAAAAAGACCTTTTAAAGGAGTTTGGAAGAGTTTGGGATGGCAGTGCATTCCCAAGCTTCCCTGCTTATCCCAAAATTCTGTAGAAAATTCAAGTTCAACCTCCAATTAGTTGGTTGCTGTTCCCTGAACTGCCTGTTTCTTGAAGAAATCGAAGAGCACTATTTTTCCCTGGCATCTGTTAGATTATCAAAACATCATCCATCTCTTTTAAGAGCTTTAAGGAATCTGCCCAACTTCATTTCATCAAACAAAATCTCATTTTTGCTGTCTGGAAGTGAGACTTGGAGCCAAATTTATAGCAGCCCAGTGTGAATAAAACTGTATTTTTATGAGAAATGCATCACTGAAGAGTGCCAAAGAAAATAAAAGGAATTTTAGTGTTAATAGAGGCACCAAAACTGTCCTGAGCCTTCTGGTTTGTTTTTCCATTACAGCCTTTTTTTCTCCTTTTCAAAAGGAGTTTCAGGATTTTTTCTGAAATATTTTTCTTGTAATAAAGCTGAAAATTATGCCTTTGAAATACAGAATCTAGTACAACCCTTCAGGGTACTTCTAAATAATATATTATTTACTAACACTGATCACAAATGAATGGTATCTTCTAAATAATAATAAATAATATTCCCTCACTGTTGGAAGTGTTTTCTAGACCATTCTTGAAATGTGTTAAAATGGAGAGACTGGTAAAAAAATTATTATTATTATTATTATTAATAGTAATAATAATAATAAGTGTGTCTATTTTTAATTTACAGTTAATATATATTATTTATATATTTATTATATATATATATATATATTTATATTATATTATATTATATTTATCTTATATATATTTATATATTTATATTATATTATATTACAAACTGGTATAAAAATGCTCCTGCTAAAGAAATAACATGAGAAATACTACTTTTTTCCATGTCTTACTCTGTTCCCTCTGTGAGTGTGGCAAGGAGTTGTTTTCCATAAGCCCAAAGCAGCTTTTCCCTTCTGGAATTCCCGTTTCTGCTGACTGCAGAATTGTTTCAAGGGTAGCAAAAATAGCAGCAAAACACTCTTCAGCTGTGGAAATTAGGATCCTTTAAACATGTCATTAATCCTGTAATTTGATGTATGAATTGATTAAGTAGCCTCTAGTTTATTACTCCTGTTAAATTCACTGTTTGAGACAGTTGTTGGAAACAGAATTCATTTAACCTGCCTTTTTATCTCTTTTTTTTTTTGCATAACAAAACAGATTCAAAGAGTAAGTACTTATTTCCAGCTTCATTTTTACCAGCTTGCATAGGAATACTGACAGCCTGCCAGACTTTAGTATTTAAATACATTAAATGTATATTTTTAGCCTTCAGTGAGAGTTGATTCCTATGCTCCAACTTGCTCCTGAACACTTGGTATGAGGAGTTTAAAAGTGATTTATTTTTTGTGGCTGCTCAATGTGATTTATTATTGCATTGAGGATATGGGGGTTGGGGTTATTGCTGTTTCCTGCAGAGAAAAAGGTAAATATTCCCATGTGTGTGGAATTCCACAAGCAAGTCGGGGCGTGTCAGGCAAGGAAGAGTCAGGTGTTGACCCACCTCAAAAACCAAACTCAGGTGGAGCAGTCGTGTCACCTTGATGGTGCTCCCCAAAAACACCCATGAGACACCACAGCTTGGTTTTCTACATGGAAAACAGGAATCTCTTTCATAGGAACTTGACTCCTTATAAAGAAAAAAAAAAAAAAGGCATTTTTTTCAGGAAAACTCTTAATTGAAACAGAAACTTCCCAGCCAACTCCGCTGAGAAAAAGGAGTTGAAGGTGGACAAGGGGAATGGCTTCAAGCCAACAAAGAGGAGATTTAGATGGGATATAGGGAAGGAATTCTTGGCTGGGAGGGTGGGGAGGCCCTGGTACAGGTTACCCAGAGAAGCTGTGGCTGCCCCTGGATCCCTGCAAGTGTCCAAGGCCAGGTTGGAGCAACCTGGGCTGGTGGAAGGTGTCCCTGCCCATGGCAGGGGGTGGAATGAGATGATCTTTAGGGTCCCTTCCCACCCAATCCATGCTGGGATTCTGTGATTTTATTCCTGTCTGGAGGAGCTCTGGGATTCCACCAAAACAGAACAACAGAGCTGAACAAACCAGGAAAATATAATCACTTTGGTGAAGGCAACACTCAGGGATGTTTATAAACTGCAGAAAAAAACATGGAAAACTTTCCATTTTGGGTTTATGTTGGGGTGGGGAGCGTTTCTGATGAGTCTTTCTCCTTCTCTCCGTGGCTCCCGAAGGAGGCAGGCTGAGTGTGCCAAGACTGCCAGGATCCAGATGGCTTTGCCAGCAGGGAAACCAGCCAGTGCCGCTGCCAACAACCTCTACGAGGAGCTTGGAGACAGCACCATGTGAGTATTCCTTGAGATCCATCAGTAAATCCAAGCTGGGCTAGTGGAAGGTGTCCCTGCCCATGGCAGGGGGTGGAACTGGGTGGGCTTTAAGGTCCCTCCCAACCCAAACCATCCTGGGATTCTCATTCCTGCTTGGGGTTCTCCAAGATCCACAAAAGACACAGGATGACCTTGTGAGGAGAGAAAAAGCAATTTGATCTTCTAGTAGAGGCTGGGAGGTTCTTTAACAGGTTTTAAGTGTGCAAAAAGCAGGTTTAACCACGTGGTTTCCTACGAGCAAGAGCCTGGAGCAGGTCACTGCTGCCAGGGTGAGCCAGCTTTGGATTCCTTGGCAAATCCAGCCCTAGACGTTTTCCAAAGCTGTTGACTAAACACATCCAATAGAATTCGTTACTTATAAATTCATTAATTAACTGGACACATCTGAAATGACAGAACACTGAAAATTTCTGCCCCGAAGTCCCCATTTCCTACAGTAAGAAATACTCTGTTGGGTAAAGTGTGTTGGTTTTTGGTTTTTCCTTTTCTGCTCTAAATTTAAAACTGTTTAAATATTGAACTAAAAGGAACTCTCAGAGAAGAGAAACCACTGGCAGGTCTATGAATGCATCTTTTATCTATTACATGCTCATAAAATAATAATATTGCAAGGTTGCTTACCTTTTCATGCTTCTGGAAACCTGAAGTTGATGGACTCCAACAACAATTTAACTCCCAGCATGAAAATATTCCAGGGGGGAGTAGCCAATTATTATTTGTCCCATACTGGGAGGGGTTTGTTCACGAGCTTTGCCACACTCTCTTTGTATGAAAAATCCAAGGAATGCTGAAGAGCACAGCGTTAATAAAGTTTGGAGGCAGGTAGAGAGGTGGAATTGAGGATTGCTCCGTTTTCCATCATTATTTGGTTTGCTCAGAGAGCTGGAATTCTCCAGCTGCTGAGATTGAGTTTAGAAAATGCTCCAGGGGCGTGACAGAGCTGTAACTCTTGGCCAGACAGTCTGTGCCTGGGGAATCATTCCAGAGCTTGAGCTTTTCTGGGTGAATAGAGGGAAGAAAAATTCCTGGGAGCAGGAATAGCTTCTCCTTGTTGCTGAATTCCCTCCTGTGCTGTTTGCCTCTGACAAGGGCTACACTTGGGCAGGAAGGGAGGAAAAATGGATGTTCAGCTGTGGAATATAGTGGGTTTGGACTGTGTTTGTGAGCCACAGGAGATCACATCTGTACTTCTGCACCGAGGTGCCTGCTGAGTAAAATTCACCTTTTTTTTTTTAATTTTTTTTTTTTTGCATTAAACTAAATTTCTCTTGAAATTAAAGATGTATTGCCAAATACCTGATGCTAAACCCAGAAAAAGCCTTGTTTTGCTGGGCTTTTATCTACAAAGGGTTTTTTTAATGTTTTAGTACTGCAGCATGTAGAGGCCAGTTCACAAATATGCAGTATTGACTCTGAGGCTGAGATTTATGTTAATTTTGACAAAAAAATTGATTTTATCGCACCAAAAAAAGGTGCTGCAGTTGGAATATTTTCTCTCAGATGTCTTTGCATACAGCTAAGCTATATCCACCATGCTGAGGAACTGATTAAACACAAACCAGTAAAAATCCTTAAAAGAGAACTGAAAATCCACAGGATTTTAAAGAAAAGAACACGCTTCAATAAATATAATTACAATTTTCTTTTTCCCTGTCAGTTACTTGATTTTAGGCTACGCATATAACTTAGGAAATTATTATTTGGGAAATACCTTTGATTAACATTTTGCATGAACTCTAGTCCAATATTCCCTGTCCTTAATTGTCCTAAGACAGTCATCTTTCATTTGCAGTGCTGCCTCGTGTCTTGTTTTCTTTCTTTGGTGTTTATAGCAAATGAAATGGAACTAAGCTCTTTAGTTTTAAATCTGCCTTGTCTCATAATTTTCATTTTTCTCTGTCTTTGGATACATAGGCATCAGTAAGTAAGCTTATTTCATTGTCTTAATATTTGTAGCTGGTAGAAGCACTAGTTAATTTTCCTTTCAGTGATTCCCATTCAACCTTGCAAGCTGAAACTCATATTTTATTTATCCATTGATCAGGAAAGACATTTACTGTGAAGCTTCAATATTTCCATGCTTCTTTATCCCTCTTCTTGGAAGCAGAGAGAGCAAGTGTGATTGCTGAACTTGAATGGTATTATTTCTAAAGCCAAAGAAAAGCTACCTTAAAAAAGAAAAAACAAAACCAAACCAAACCAACACTGAGTGAAGGCCCAGAGGTTTGAACTGATGGCTGGATGCAGGCAAAGCCTATTTTGTCTGTTATTTACAATTCCATGCAAGGCTGGGGCGTGTCTTTCAGTTTACAGGGATGTGCTTCCACCTGAGTTGCATCAAAATAATCCAGGAACACAAAGAGATGCAGGGTCAGCCCAGCCCGGAGAGGTGTCGTGTGGAGCCAGGAGGGAGCTGAGGAGCTTTGGAAATAATCCATTCCAGTAGCAAAAAGGTTGTGTCACCTGCATGAGCCTTCTGCTGGAGGGGTCCTTCAAGTTCACAATCACTGCTTTCTCTCGCCTCTGAATAGATGGACAGGGCTTGAATCCCCTCTGAGCTGGCTGCTTTAGGATAAAGGATTAGTTTAGGGGCTCTGGGGAACAGCACAACAAGGACATGGAGCTGCTGGAACCAGTCCAGAGGAGGCCCCAAGAGGATCAGAGGGCTGGAGCAGCTCTGCTGGGAGGAAAGGCTGGGAGAGCTGGGATTGTTCAGCCTGGAGAGGAGAAGCTTTGGGGTGACCTGATTGTGGCCTGAAGGGGCCTGAGGGAACCAACAGGAAAGATGGAGAGAGACTATTTCCAAGGGCCTGGAGTGCCAGGACAAGGGGGAATGGCTTCTCCCTGACAGAAAGTAGGTTTGGATTAGATATTGGGAAGGAATTGTTCCCTGTGAGGGTGGGGAGGCCCTGGCACAGGTTGCCCAGAGAAGCTGGGGCTGCCCCCTGGATCCCTGGATGTCCAGCCAGGTTGGAAGGGTTGGAAGCAACCTGGGGAGTGGAGGCTTGTGTCCCTGCCCATGGCAGGGGGTGAGACTGGATGAGCTTTGAGGTTCCTTCCAGCCCAAACCATTCTGGGATTCAGTGATTAGTGTGAAGTTAATTATGTTTCATACAGTTCTGTTCTGCCCAGAGACAAACCTTAGGCACACTGAATTTTGGCAAACTGCAGTGCCTGGGGGGAATTTATGCACTGATATAATCCTTCCTGGAGCTTTGCTGGGTGTTATTTGGAAATGGGAGTGTGATCCCTGTTCTTTGTGCAGGCATTCTGGTCCTTCTTTGGTCCCTGGGACCATTAGGGAGCTGCGGGTTCCCTGTCTGGGTGATCCCCCACTGAAAACAGGAAACAAAATTTAAGAACCAAATATGTTTCATTACTAAATACAGGCTTTCAGGGGACTTTTACATATTAAATAACTTAGAGGAAACTTAATCTCTCTTAATTAACCCCTATCCAGTGTCTAGTCACTTAAATTTCTCTTCCAGTTTTGCTAGGGAATATTTAAGCACCAGAGTTAATTTTCCATTAATTATTTAGTTATATTTTCTGAGACATGACACACCACCACCAAAAATAATGGAACAATGTGACCAGCAGGCCTAAAAGTTCATCTTCCAACATTCACATCATCTTTTTGGAGTAGGTGTCCTCTGGAAGCCTGGTTGAATAAGGGGTTTGGTTTTAGCTCTGTGTGACACAGACCCAAATCTTAAATTTCTCACAGGTTGAGGGGAAAATAAATTTTGTTTCAGCCTGAGGTGAACAGTGTTTAAAATAGGGCTCCCAGGGTACTTTTCTAGCAGACAGTGCGGAGATATTGATTTTTAGAATGCTGTTTATTTTAAAATCTGCTCAGAAGTTTGCGGTATTGAAAATATTTGAGAAAAGTAGTTAATGAGGCACTGGGAGGTGAGAGATGAAGTCCAAAAAGTGGTGAGACCTCCCACTCTTGGTGTAGAAATTCGATGTAACCCACCTGCAGGGGCTTTTCATTGGGTTTATCGTGGTGAAGAGATGAAATTTGTACCCGTGTTGATACTTCTGTGATGTTTTGTGTCTCTGGGGAGATGGGGTCCAGTATTGACTGATCATTTTGAAACCTAAGAGGTGGGTTTTTTTTAACAAGAGGTCGACTTATTTTTGTACCTATCGAGTAGCTGAGCAACTTTAAATTAAAACAAGTAGTAAGCTTGTTTTAATTTCTCTTCCTTCCCCCTTAAAGAAGATGCAAAAGTAAATGTCTTGCCCAGTAGCCCAGTGAATGTGCTCTTTCTGTTGGGTAGCAGTAGTTTGCTAGAAGTAATTGAATGGCTCTGATTCATATCATGAGTTCTTTTTTTTCTCTCTCTCATGAGTATCTGTGTCCATGCATGTTTCCTCACATGTGATTATCTTCTTTTCTTTCAAGTCTTTTTCTTCTCTACCATTTCCAACAAAGCAGGGGAAAAAAGTCAAAGTCAGTCTTAGAAGAAGGAGACCGTCAGAGAGTTATAAGCAGCTTTGCTTCCCGTGCTATTGAGGCTCACAAGCAATCCAATATCAATGGATCACTGAACAATAACCTCCCCAAATCCTCAAGTAACATTACTTTTTTATCTGATGAGAACCCATTAACCACTCAGAACCCGCTGTATGTGGAAGGTCTCCCTCAGAGTCCCACTGCTGCCGGGTCTCTACGGAAAAGGAACGATACTCTTGATACTCTTTCTCCTTCAAGACTGGCCCTGAGAGAGGCCTCCCTGGGGGGCAGTCACCGGGCGTGGACGGTGCCCACTCACCTCACCAGGAGGCACACGCCTGGTTCTCTGAGCAGGCCGGTTATCATGGACCCCATCCAGTGGCAGCAGGAGAGACTCAAAGCCAGGAAGGAAGGAGCTGCCAGTCAGGAGAGCAGTGTTGATGTTAGCAGTCCACTCTTTCAAAGACTGAGTGGCCCCAAGCTGACCGTGAAGGAG